CAGTGATAGAAATCCATTGATACTAAAATTAATGGGTTTAAAATTGCATACTGGTTGGAGAAAAATACCATAAGAGGAAACTAAGACAACTGCATGAAGCAATTTTAGTTGGTATGGAAAATAATCTTTAGAAAATTGATATAAGCAACAATTACAGTGACTTTTGTGACCTTTGTGATTTGGGTACTCTGATAAAGTTAACAAGTCTTTACCAGTTACACTAAATTCTGGTAAGATGGAGCTTGTAGATCTTATAGGACACTTTGCTCTTTAAAAAGGTGTAGTTCTGTCATACTGGAATATGCTTGGCAAATGTTTGTAGTGAGAACCACAATGATTGTGAAACTTATGACAGTATGCTTTATGAAATTTTATGGCTCAGATCAGTACCCAAGATAATATTTTTAGGTTGTACATAGTAAGACATTCCCAAACTGCAGGCCTTCCTCTTCAATGTCAGAAATGTTGGCGTTTTGGCCACCCAGCCAAACACTTGCTCGACAGCCCACTGCCCTCTTTGAGACCAACCTGGTCATGACCGTTCAAATTGCCCTGCTCAGTCATGTACATGTGCCAAATGTGGAGACTCTCATAATGTATTTTAGAGGAGCTTCCCTGCCTATAAGCTTGAATATGAGATGGGAGTCCTCAGATTTAAACTAGGCCTTACTCAAAGTGAGGCCAGACATGAAGCACAACAATGAGGTTTTTCTGTCTCAACTTCTTCCAAAACGGTCCTTTTTCTCTACTCTCCCACCATCTTCATAAGATATTTCAGCATCTCCCTCAGTATCTCTCCCCTATACCAAAACCATCCTATGTCTACTCACCCAATCCCCCACTCAAATTCGTTTTCCAGTCTAAATCCAGATACTCCAGTCTCTATCACTTCCCCGATACCTACCCCACCCTCCTCACTTTATTTGCCATACCAGACAACCAAAACGTTCCACTCCATCCTCTCCTGCTACATCCTATCCCACACCTTCCTCTTTTTCTGCTCCTCAGATATCTATCTCCTCTTCTCCTCATCATAAGTGAACCTTTGTTTCTCAGTCCTCTTCAACCAGCTCCCTTCCAGAAACCCTTGAAGACATCCAAAACTTCCTAAAAATGACCCAAGGGAATACTCCACTCATTCACCCACCCCTTATCCCACTGTTCCTACTCCTACTACATTTAAAGTATTTGTAGACATCCATCCTCCTCCTCCTCAAGTTCCCTCCATCCCCCTTCCTCCTACACCCTTCCAACATACCCCACCCTCTCTACCGCTTCCCCTTGAATACTCACATGAATCCCCTCCATTACAACAGTATCCTTCTCCAGACCCCTCCCCTCCAGACATTCTTCCTGATACTTCAACACCTTCCCCAGTACCCCTTTCTCATCACCCGAATTCACCCTACTTATCCAACAGTCACCTCTTTTACCCTATTCCTTCCCCAGTCAGATACAGTGCAATTCTCTCAGTCACTCTACCCCTTTAACCTTTCTCATTTTACTAATCCCTTCTCTTCTTCATTTACTTCTCTCTTTTCCATTTATGTTACCAAACTTTCCTATAACACCCTGTAATCTTTGACATCTAACACCTTCCCCTCTCCCCGGATTCTTCTACTTTTCTAACAGCCATCTCTATTTTTCCTTGAACATTTTTCCTATACCCTCCCCAGTGACAGGTAAACCATAATTCACTCAATTGCCTTACCTCTTTAACCCTACCCTTTCTACTAAACTCTGCTGTAGTTCACTTACTCTCCTTTTTTCCCCTTTCACTACCATACTATCCTATAACACTCCCTAATCTTTGACATCTAACATATTTTATTGTAATTTTTAACTCTCCATTACCCTCTCCGACAATACGTTACCATAGTGCTATATGACCTTAGATGTCTAACACATTTTTATGTTTCAAACATTGAATATTAAACATTTATTTAGTTGTCTTACAGCATTTCATTTTAAGCACAGGTTGTCTTTATGGCTACAGAGCGTCATATACTGTAGGGTATTACTTTAAATTGTTACCATACATTGAAAACTCATTCTCTCAAAAGACAGTGCCCCTCCCACTGTAAAAGAGTACAAAATTTTCAATATAGAGCAGTCTAATATCCCTGAGTGAAAATGAAATGCTTTTTGAAATGTTGAAGCTTTTTAAAATATATATATATTTTTGCAGATACCTGGAAAGACAACGAGGAATTTTCAAATTACATAGTTCAACTAGCATCATGTGGCGTAGAAAAGCTTGGTAAGATTTGTTGTTGTTGTTGTTGTTAATGTTGTTGTTGTTGTTGTTATTGTTGCTGTTAATGTTGTTGTTGTTTTATAATTATCATTATTTTCTGTACCATTTTTTGTATCATTATCATTCTTGATATCTTTTCAGGCAAGGAGGGCGGCCACCTGCGGGAGGAGAGAACAGCCATTCTGGACCAGACAAGGGACTTGGCCTACACCAACTACAAGACCTTCATTCATACAGCTGATTGCTCAAGAACTATTTTCAAAGATGTGGGTCTTGATGTTTTTTTTGTGCCTTTGGTGCACTATGATGTTAAGAAGGGTTTTCATTGTCTGTTCTGATTAGGTTAGGTTAGGGGGTTAAGAGTGAGAGTGAGTGAGTGAGTGAGTGAGTGAGTGAGTGAGTGAGTGAGTGAGTGAGTGAGTGAGTGAGTGAGTGAGTGAGTGAGTGAGTGAGTGAGTGAGTGAGTGAGTGAGTGAGTGTGAGTGAGTGAGTGAGTGAGTGAGTGAGTGAGTGAGTGAGTGAGTGAGTGAGTGAGTGAGTGAGTGAGTGAGTGAGTGAGTGTGTGAGTGTGTGAGTGTGTGAGTGTGTGAGTGTGTGAGTGTGTGAGTGTGTGAGTGTGTGAGTGAGTGAGTGAGTGAGTGAGTGAGTGAGTGAGTGAGTGAGTGAGTGAGTGAGTGAGTGAGTGTGTGTGTGTGTGTGTGTGTGTGTGTGTGTGTGTGTGTGTGTGTGTGTGTGTGTGTGTGTGTGTGCGTGTGCGTGTGCGTGTGCGTGTGCGTGTGCGTGTGCGTGTGCGTGTGCGTGTGCGTGTGTCTGTCTGTGCAAATGTGCATATGTGCATGTGTACACGTGTGTGTGCATCTGCCTGTCAGTCTACCTGTGTCATTTCGGGAGATTCTAAACATTGTTTCCTTTTGCAGTTCACCAGTGTTGAGAGTCACTTAGAAGGCTTGTCGTCATGCCTGCCCAACCTTCGGAAAAGTGTGGACGGATTTTTGGCCACGTCGCGCAGCTTGGCACAGTCACGGCACCTCACATCCCTCACGCTGACAAAGCACACGCAATTGTTGGAGGTATTGTTGATGTTGTTGTTGTTACTTCATCATCATCATCATCATCATCATCATCATCATCATCATCATCATCATCATCATCATCATCATCATCATCATCATCATCATCATCATCAATCATCAATCATCAATCATCAATCATCAATCATCATCATCATCATCAATCATCATCATCATCTCATCAATCATCAATCATCAGTCATCAGTCATCAGTCATCAGTCATCAGTCATCAGTCATCAGTCATCATCATTATTGCTATTATTATTGCTATTATTATTGTTATTATTATTGTTATTATTATGATGATGATGATTGATGATGGCAGTGGCAGCTGTTATTGTTATATTATTGTTGTTGTTATAGTTGTTTATAAGATGATTACTATAATTATCATAATGATAATGATATTGACAGTGGTTGATAATGATGATAATAATGACAATGACAGTAATTGGTAATGATAATAATGATGACATTAGTAATTGCCATTTATAAGCCTTCCTTTCATGAACAGATCCTGGAGCTACCACAGCTGATGGACACATGTGTGAGAAATAGTTACTATGAAGAAGCGTTAGAGATCTTAGCATACGTGAGAAGGCTGGAGAAGAAACACACAGACATTCCTATAATAGCGGTAAGTATGCTGTATCATTATATATGGAATATCATTGAGTGTTTGACTCGATGCCACAGGGGATAGATTGTATGTGCAGGATATTGTTACTGTGGGGCTCTTAATTAGCTTTACAAACTTATGGCTCTACAAATGCTTAATCACCAGTGAGTCAATTACTAGGACTGCCAGTCTGAACTGAGTACCCTTTTCCTATAGTTTTGGAAACATTTTTCTCTAATATTAGATATTTTTAAGGGGGTATTTATGTCTATATGATAGCCCTTTTAATGTTCAGTAGTGGCAGGCTGTTATATACTCTGTTTTGGTATATTATAAAAATGGTACTTAATTTTTATATAATTTAATTAATTTGGAGGCATCTGCATCTGACTCAGAATATGACATGGCAGGGACAGCTTTCTGAACTACCATTATCTCCACAGAATATTGTGATGGAGGTCCAGGCAGGCACTCGGCTGATGTTGAGCCAACTTCTGGCACAGTTGCGATCGCCCTTGGCCCTGCCGCAGTGCCTCAAGGTCATAGGTGAGGAAGGGAGAGCTGCGGTGATGTTGTGGTTTATGTTATATTCAGGCCTTTTTGCCAATTATCTCCACATTCTTTTGTCTTTTTTATATGCTTTGTTTATGAATTTTAGAATTTTTGTGAATATCTTTTCTTTCCAGTGTTTGAATGGTCTTTCTGTAAGGTGAAAAGATGGCAGATAAGCTTCCTTTTTTTTGAACTGAGTAAAAAGCACAAGTGCTTTTTTTTACCTGATTTGATGACTGTATTCAAGTCTGTGATTTCATTTCATATGCAGATGTGCCAGACTCTTTATTATTATTTTTTTTAATGTCTTATCTAAATAAATGTACATCTTTTTCCTCTCGTATCCGTCAGACTTTGATTTCTTTGTATTATTATCAGTTTCTAGATTTCTTTCTTCTTGCTAGGCCTACTTCGGCGACTTGATGTGTTCACCGAGCCTGAGCTGAGGCTGAAGTTTCTGCAAGCGAGGGATTCCTGGTTCAACAGCGTCTTGAAGGGGATACCCAAGGACGACAGTGAGTTGGACCTTTGGGTGATTTGCAATTTTATGTTTCATAGTCAATCTGGTAATTTTTTGGTAAAGGAAGTACCAAGAAATATCACTGGATTTGCCACAAAAAGCAGAGGAATAAATTCCGTGTTTGTTGCTGTTCTGTCATGAACTAGTATTCTCTAGCTATGAAAAAAACAAAGATTTTAAATGTTATGCCTGGTTCCTACCTTATAGGAATACTTGCAAGACTTTCCTCACATTATTCAGATTTATTAACGAGTAGGAAAGTCAGGGCAGTTTAATGATACAGAAATGAATTAGTGCTTGAATGTAGAATGTTTTCTGTAATATACTTTTTTTTCAAGGGATTAAAGTAATTACGAATCTGCTATTCAAAGAGTTAATACAATTCACACAAATTACAGGTTATCAGCACATCATTAAGGTTGTAGAAGCATCACGTGTCCACCTGTTTGATATTGTTACACAGTATCGCGCCATCTTTTCGGATGATGACATGCGTTTCAGCCTGGGGGACCCGGAGGTCAATGAGCAAGCCATTTTCCATGGGTGGATTCTGCATAAGGTACGGATTGATAGAGGTTGTCTTGCTTTTGGGGTATGGAATGGATTAAAAAAAAAAAAAAAATTCAGATTTTCTCCTTGTTTTTTTTTTTTTTTTACATTTGTATATCTATGTACTTCATGAAGATCTTTGAATGTTAATAAAGTTAAGAGGAAGGTACCGAATATTAAGTGTGGGTGTGTGCATTAGTATAGTTGTGCGTACGTATTTGTGTTTGAGTGTATTTGTCATTATTTCTTGTTCCTAAAACCTCCTAAAATCTCCATGCAACCTCTCCATCCCTAGGTAAACCAGTTCATGAAGATTGTGGAGAGGGACCTTGAGCGAGGTGTGGGGCCCAACCTGGAGGCTGTCCTGGCCCAGTGCATGTTCTTCGGTCAGTCCTTCAGCCGCATTGGGGCCGATTTCAGGAACCTCCTCATTCCATTGTTCCAGGTAGGGATTACTTATTATCATTAGTGTTTTTATTTTGTTTTAATTTTCAAATTATTTACCTATTGGTTTGTTATTTGTTGGGTTATTATTTTTCTTTGGTTTATTAGAAGTTGTATAGAAGAACATAGTTGAAGATTTTGAAATGAACAGGAATTAATGTTTTTTTTTGTTGCGTTAATGAGACTGATTTTTTTGTGACTTCCCATTTTTTCCCATTTTTTCTATAATGTTATTGGAACCAATGATAAATGCTCTAAAGAAGTTCTTTGGTAGTGAAGGGGTGCAATTGTCTGCAAATGTTGCTGAACAACAGCTCTTCCAGCTCAGCCATCGCAATTAAATCTGAACCAGCATATGTTGCTGAGGAAACCAATGTGGTAAGGCAATATCAAAAAGAAGCTGGCAGGCAAGAAAGAAGTGAATGTGGAAGATATCATAGAGATAACTATGGGAGACAAGAAAGAACAAATGAAAGACAAAATTATAAAATGTTAGTTTTACAATTGTGGTTCAATATTCCACTATGTAAGTTGATACCCAAAGAGAGTATATGAGGTGAAAACTGAAGGTGAGGACGAAAATGGAGAATGAGTAAGATATAAATAGATAGGCAGCTGCCTAAGGAGTGAACTTCCTTCTATGCCTTTCATGCGCCCCACAGAAAGCTGCCCTCCTGCAGTGTGAGAAGGACATACGCACAGCCAACATCAAGTTTGATGAGACCCTCAGTAGCTTTTCACTCATGGAAGCACCGTTGCTTAGTGCTCCATCTGCTATCCAGATTGAAACGCAGGTATGTACGAGATTGATTGGTTTGAAAGACGGAGAGGGAAAGGTTCTCTTGCTGTCTGTCTTTTATCTGTTCCTCTCCATGTCTTCGTTTCTTTCTCTTTCTTTCTCATGATTTTTGCTTTTGTCCTCCTCTATCATTATTATCTTCCTTATTCTTATTCGTGATATTATTTATATTCTTATTATAAGGCAGGCTTGTAGTGGCATTTATTCTCAATTCTGGCCCTTCACTGTTGTCTTTTTTCAACATGGGGGAAATTTTAGGTTTGATGTGAATTAACGATAGAAACATAAGTGAATGAACACAAGCACAAATACAGTCATGTGTACACAAAAATGAAAGGAAAACAGGCACAATAATACATGAAAATAAATGTCATGTTTCGAGTTCTTCACAAGTTCCTCTTCAGATGAATAATAAACCAAAATTGATATATTTCAGTTTATTGTTCATGTGAAGTGGAACTTGTGAAGAATTCAAAACTTAACTTTTATTTTCATATCTTACTATAGCTGTTTTCCTTTCATATATGTGAATATTAGCATTATTTTATTATTTTTTTTAGTTTAGTTATAGGTAACTTCATCCAAAAAATTTCAAATGATGGATGAACAATATGATGAGAGCAGTATCAGTGGTCAATAAATGAAAAACATACAAATGAATAAAAATCAAAGATGGAATACAATGTTAAACCCCAAGACACATCTTTATGTATGTAGAAGACAGGAAAAAGCAAGACTTTAAATTCAGTAATTAGCTGGTGGCTCTTTTCCCCAGTGTTCCCTACAGACCTGAGTATGACAGTGCTATGTAAAGTCTGCTCAAAGGGATTATCTGATCATTACCTTTGCTATGTATTGATCCTTAGGACTTTATTATAGAGTAAAATGATGCTTGCAGTCCCTCTTCTTTATTATGAGGGTTGTTAATGTCTCCATATCTATTATAATTGCATTGCCATTGAGGAGAGCTCATTGTGACAAATCAAATTAAAGGTATGAATAACTTCAATTAATAACTTGCTCTGTGAAATTATTTGTTCCCATTTGCACATTTTCCTTCTTTACCAGTTATTATCCTTTCAGGACAAAACTCGACCCCCTTTGACCCTAATGGAGTTCCCCCCCTTGGCCCACTACATGAATGGACTGGTGGCCATGTTCAACACCCTTCGCCAATGCTGCCCTGTGGCCACCCTGCCACAGGTCCTCAGTCTGCTGCAGAAATCTTTATCAAAGGTGAAGTCATTGTCATCATTGATACTTATCATCATTATCATCAGTACTCATATTCATTACCATCATTATCATCAATACTCATATTCATTACCATCATTTTTCCTTCAAAGTTAAGTGGCATGTATCATAGTATTTACCCTTGATATTCATATGCACTACTGTATTTACCCACATAGTTTGGCAGTATATTTGTCATTAATATTCATCCCTCTGTATACCCATGATATTTATAGCTATATTAACCCACTTATAATTTATCATTGTCACTGCAGGTGGTTGCTGCATTGCTGGAACTCCACCGCCTCGAGAGCTCAGGCTTCACTTCAAAGGAAGAGGCAGCCTTCCAACGCATGTGCATGGTCATGGCGCAGGGTCTGCTACCCCACATCAATACATGCTTGCGCCTGCTCTACCCACTTCAGCAGATCTCTGTGATCTCGGGTGTGTCAGTTACACAGCTGCAGAGGGAGGTGGGTTATTCCTCCTCTTTGGTATTATCTCAATTTTTTAATTTTCACTCTGTCCCTTTTCTTATGTATTTTATAAATATCTGATTATAAGTGCTGGGCTGTCAAAGTTTGGCTGGCTTTGTACTCAGGGCCTTCCACCACCATCCCCCATCTAGATCTTTTAGTTTCATAAAATTTCCCAATTAGAATGGTGAATGTTATGTGTGCAACTGGCATCCCTCCAATGTGGACAGTGACTTGTTTTTGTTCCAGTTCCATCACAAACAGTTTCCTGGTTTGGTGACATGTAGGGAGCCTGTTAACATGTCTATTTTTTTAAATAACACCCTGCAGAAAGGGCATAAAAAAAAGTTGATGTGTGAAAATGTGTATAGCTTCAAAATGTTATTTCAGTGCAAATTTCTTAGATATGAAATTAATTTAGTAAAAAAACTGATCCAGTTGTATCAAGAATGCATGAGTTATAAAGCTTGTTATGTTTAGACATAACTTACTTTAAAATTCATATACTCAAATTTGCAACTTTTACTTTAAAATTTATATACACAAATTTGCAACTTTTACTTTAAAATTCATATACACAAATTTGTGAGGATTTTTTAAATTTTAGCTTTTGTTACCTGTAATTTCTATGGGGGGACAATTTTTTAGTATTTATTATACTTTATTACATTTTCAGAACTTTGGGCAGTTAGATATTGAGGAACTCCTGGCTCCCATTGAACACCTCTTGCCGAAGAAGGAAGAAAAGGAGCTGTCGGAGGAGATGCTTTACAGCACTCATCTAGAGCAGACATCAGCCTCTCCTGATGTTACAGCTGATGCCTCACTTGAGCCTGCACAAGGAGAGCAGCAGCAGCAGCAGGAATCGACAATCTCTTTGGAAGAGAGCACACAGCCCTTGACCTCATCAGAAATAGTTGGGGAGTCACCAATCATGGGGACAGAGAGTGATATAGTGTCTCCCGGCACAGATCAGCTGCTTTTGGATTCAGCTCTAACACATTCCGTTTCAGCAGAAACAAATCAAACGACGGATTTCTCACTCCTAGAAACCACACCACCACCACCACCACTAACGGTTGCTGAAGGAGCAGAATTATTAAAAGAGGGATTGTCCAATTTAGAAATTACAAGTAAACCTCAGTTTTACATTGAATCATCGTCCGAGTTAGGAACTCCATCAGAATCTTCTTTTCAGGGTTCAGAAACGGCCTCAAACCAAGAGGCATAATAGACAGTTCTAACGATGTAGAGAATGTCTCATTGCTTTTATATATAATTTTTTTTGCAAATCTTATACATTTAATAGGGGGGGGGTCATTAAATGCTTTTTCTTTGTGTGGGTAGGTAAAATTGCAGTTTCGTCAGACAAAGTAATTTGTTGAAGTGATATATTCCATATAATGTTGACAGGTTAGACAGAAACCTGTCATTTTTGCAATCTAAAAGCAAAAATGTAAAGCCCATTAGGAGTGGAACTGTGACGTGGGAGGCATTATATACTTTACAATTTTTTTTATTTACTATATAGTGTTATTTATTGTTGACTTTGTTGTAAATGGATTATTAAAATATTTATTACATTTATGCACTAATATGTTTTAATGTACCTGTAACTACAGATCTGTTTCTACATACATGATTATGTATCATACAGTGGAAGAACATAGCTGATGCAGTCATTAGCCATAATGAAACTTTTTGGAATTTTCAAAGCATTACTGTCTACGAATCTTCAAATGGGAAGACTTCAATTTAAAAACATGAAACACAGCCACAATAATATGAGACAGACATTATTGAGGCTGTGGTTCATTTTATGTTAGTATACATGTTACATATGCTGTGGTCAATGTTACTTGGTTAAGTAGATATAAATTATTCTAAAAACTGTAACATACTTCAGGTAATTTCTCAGGTAACACAGTAATACTGTTAGAGAGCAAATAATCGCATGGTAACTTAATATCACAAATAGACTTCTGGAAATGAAGCAACAACTTAAAAATAAAATATGAATTTAAATAATTACTATAAAGATTCATTTTACATTGTCACAATGAAAATTTGTGTATGAAGCCTTGTGTAAGGCCAAATATAGCTGCATATAAAACATGTGCAATTTCAAGTGTCTTTTGAAATTATACCATGCATACATTTGAAGGAAAAGAGAAAAAGAAAAACAAAAAAGTCATTACTAAAAACTTAACATCTGCATATAATGATGTCAAAAAGTTTGGTGTATACGGTTCTAGGCATGCATTTACCTAAGGTTATATATATATGTATGTATATATGTGTGTATATATATATATCTATCTACTTATATACTACATGTATATATACACCTATATAAATGTGTATATATGTATGTGCATATTTACAAAAAACAAAATCAGTTTCAAAATTAAAATAAAGGTAGAAGAGGGGGGGGAAATACAAAAATAAATAAATAAATTGCCATTCTGACTCATCGTCAGTTCCCCCTATCTTTAAGTTCAAATGCTTTCTTATCTTCTTTTCCTCTTGTCTAAGTAAATAAATATATAAAAATGAATTAACAAACTGAAACAGTAGTCCCTAAACAGTGGAGAATACAGGGGTCGGTGGGAAACGCTGCTCATTGTAAGCCAATTGTGAACAAATCTTTACAAGGTACAAAGATTATTGCATCACATAATACTGAAATGAACAGCTCTTTTGAACGGGATTTAATCACCAAGAATAGGAACTACCAGTCTAAAGTCTCCTCATGACTTTACCCATATTTCTTGTAATTTCATTTTCATAGAAAATAAAATGAAAGTGTACCTAAAATGTAATGAGATTCCTCATGCCTTAAAAAAAAAGTCTCTCCATACATAATACTGCAGAGCTTGAATATCACAAGCCATAATTTACTTTGGCTCTCTAGACCTTTGGCAAACACACAGACCAATAAATTTTGCGCAAATCAATCAACAACAGTTTCATAAACAAAAAAAATCAAACGTGATATCTTCTTTGTGCGAATTAATACCCCTTCGGCAAGTCCACGCAATTTCTCCGTCTTTAATGCAATTTTCCGTTCCTCAGTATTCTTGTCGTCACGCACTCGAGGTCCTGAATCCCACTCCTCATGGCCAAGACATCCCGGTCGAACTTCTGTGATGGAGAGTGAAACTGCGTCCACTGGCTGGGAGTGACCAAGGGGGCTCTGTTGGCCTGGGGTGTGATGGCTCTGGGGATGTTCTCGTTTCCTGGGCCATTCCTGTATTGGGTAAGAGAGATTATGATGCTGTGACCAATGCCCATTGATTTAAGAGGGAAAAATGCTACCAGTCAGAATTCACATGGTAATATTTGGGAATATTCTGTAATTGTCTTTTCCTTCATATTACACATGTGTACAAATTCAATTCTAAATTGTGTTGCAAAGTATTTCCATGCTATTAAGTTATGAGGGGGTGGGAGATGAAGAAGAAGAAGAAATATATATAAAATCACCCCCATCCCCTCACATACACTACCACCACCACTTACCCCTCCCACCCACATATACCCTAGCTATACCTACACCAACATATCCATTTGCGACCACATACTCAAACACCCTAACTGCACCCATACCCCCACCCCACACACACTGGATGCATACACATACACCCGCCAAAAAAAAAAAAGGACGAAGAGAAAAAAAAAAGTCACTTATTTTCTAACCAAGAAATAAAATTATCATAAAAAGACACTTGGAATAGGAAAAATGTCTCACCCCTTGGAGGTTTCCATATATGGAATGAGGCCTTTTTCTCCTTTTTTCATGCTCACTAATGCAATAATAAATGTGCTTGTCATATTTCCCCAGTGGAAATTGCTATTAGAATTTAATTAAAATACACAAGGCAGGCAAAAACGCAATGAGAAAGAGAAGTGACAAGAAAAGGAAGATTAAGAGAAAAAAAGGAAATAAGTTAAAGAAAAATAGAGAGAAAGTATAATATAAATGATCTTTTCTCTCTCTCCTATTGGAAAATCATGCATTTTTACCTACACTCATATTTTGCAGTTGTCATAATGAGCCATGTCCAACCAGTTCCAACTCCTCCTTTGAGATTCCCAAGGAGATACATCTTCATGTATCACCACCACCATTATCATTATTGTCATTGTCATCACCCTCACCCGCACCCTCGCCATTATCATCATCACCATCACCACCGTCACCACCAACCTTCCCAATCATCTCAACACCCACCCCCGTCATTTCTTTAAAAAAGCAAAGCAAAGCAAAGAACCCTTCAAAGCACGACAAATCTATACAAAGAAAACAGTCGGTACCCCTTACCACTCACCTTCTTGGAGTAGCAGTCTGGAGTCGCTTGGGAGCCTTAAAGTAGCTGTGGGGTGTGACGGGTGTGTTCATGTTGAAGGGTGAGTAGAGTTTGCCTGGAGTTTTCCTTGGGGTGCGGTTTGAATTGTGCTTCGGGGTGTGCGTGGGTGTCCTTGCGTCCAGCTTGTACCTGCGGCGTGTTGAGTTGCGGAACATCTGTGTTGAGGAAGGGTGGAGAGTAAGGAAAATGAGGATGATCATAATAATGATTATAATAATAATAACAACAACTGAAAAATAAACTGCAATAAAAAAACAATAATAATTAAAACAACACTAATAATGATACTAACAATGATAATGAATAATAGCAACAACATAATAAAAATAATAATCATGAAGTATAGAACGGGTGTATGGCCTCTGTCCCTCAAGTTATGGCCTCACTATGTGCAGACTGCCAAGACAGGGCTCAGATTGGTTGCTTAATTAACTGAATATATAAAGAATACATCCTTTCATTTATTGATTGTCTTTGCACATATATGATTCCACAAATGCTCAATTTTAAAGTCAATTATTAGTCCTACCTATCTCACCTCTTTTCCCTATTCCTTCATTTTCAAAAAGATTGTTTTATAATTTTTTATTGCTTCTAGTATTGCTAATAATTGTAATAATCATAATGTTAACAACAATAATAACAAGCTCAGTATTAGCATAAGAAAAAGTATATATTTTCCTGAAACTCAAGGTTGTTGGAAAAAATTTAGAATTATAATTTTAGTATTTTTTATTGTGCCTAGTATTGCTAAAGATTTTAGTATTATAATAACAACAATAACAACAAGATCGGTGTATATAGCACTAGAAAAAAATATGTTCCTGAAAACTCAAGGAAGGTGAGAAAGATTCAGAATGATTCTTTTATATATACTTTCAGTGCTGTTAATATTGGTAATAGCTATAATAATTATAAAGCCCACAACACTAATAACAAGATCAGTATTAGTAGCATTAAAGAAAAGAATTATCTTCCCAAAAACTCAGAGGAAAAGGATATCAGCAGAGGACATGTTGGCTGAGCACTTGTGGAACCATCTGTGTACAAGCAGAATTCACCAAAGAAAATGACAACTGAGAGTGTGATTGGCCGGCACCATTGGGTTAATGATAAATCACCAATGAGGTCTAAAAGTAGTGTCTTGCCGGAATCTTTGACGAGACGATTGCAATAACCTATTTGCAACCTGAAGATGCCTTTCATTTCTATAACAGTGAGGCATACTCCCTCCTTTCTTATAGCAGTATTGTTTGTGTCTATAATTCTCCTGCATTTATTAATCATCGTCATTTTAGTGATGATTATTGAAATATATATATTAAAGAATATTCTTTTCCTATAATAATTTGTTTTCTCTAGGGAAGGATATAAATATGAATATATATGAATAAATAAATATATATATATATATATATATATATATATATATATATTATATATATATATATATATATATATATATATATATATATATATATATTTTTTTTATTTACAGCTACATGTAATTATAAATTTCATAAAACAATATGAAAAATATTCTAATAGAAGGATATGCAACAATATTTTTACAGAAAGATATAATATCTTGTGATTATAGAACACAATACATTTTTATAGGACATGAAATATTTTTCATAAAATTATATGAAACTATATTTCTTTTCTACAGAAAGGCAGAATGATAGCCCCCATGCAGAGTAATTAAAAAACCCAACGAGCATCTCCCACTGACACCCTCAACTCAGGCAAAGTGCCAAACCAAGGAGGCAACAAGGACCACCTACCTGTGTGAATGACGACAATGAAGTCCTAACTCCCTGGAGCGCACGGTTCACCTTCTTCCCTCCCTCCTGGATCATTCTGTTAGCTCGAGGTCGCACTTGGTTAACAATGTCCGTTGACAGAGGAAGCACCCCTGAGGGAAGGTTGGAAAGCGGCTGACGGCAGCGGAAATTGGAGGTGCTGGTGGTTGTGGTGGCGGTCTGTCCACTGGGCTGTTGTGTGCTCTGGTGACCATTGTAATTTTGTCTGTTGCTGTCACTGTGGATCTTGTTGCGACTGGCCTGGAAGTGAGTCTGGGATTCCTCTCCCTGTTTGGATAATGATGTGTATCTGTGGAAGGCAGAAAATTAGTCACAATTATCATCACTTCCAATGCCACAATTTTTGTATTAGTCCATTAGTGATGCTTCAGAAATGAACATTAATAATAATAATAATAATAATAATAATAATAATAATAATAATAATAATAATAATAAAAAAATGTGGTTATTTTTTGTGTAATAGTATTTGAGTATGCAAATACTATCTTCTTTCTTCTTCTTCTAAACCAATGTTTCTTATTTTGGCACACATATGTGCAATTCTATTACCAAAAAGTACCATGCATATTTACACCAATATTAGCTTAAAATTAAGGGGGGAAATAAAGGCCTATAAAATACCAGTGCATCTAACACTTGCCCAAATGCTACTTGACCCACCCTTTGTGCCCATCAAGGCTCCAGCAACATCTGGCTAAAGGGCCTGACCTTTCGCTCAGATTCCCTACATGTGTAAGAGGCTGAAGCTTGAGAAAATTTCTACAATTACTGGATATTAATATACCTGTGATGCACAGATAGTACTTCTATTTGATGACTGAGAGAGCAAACTCCTCTAAAAAAATTCATTGACAAATGAGGAACCAGTCCAAGCGCTATCTTGCCTGAATATACAAAGGAGGTTCATATTTTCTTTATTTTATTTTTTTAGCGGTTATAAGAGTGCACAGCATGGAAACAGAGCTCACGGAATTTTGTATTTGGATAAAATATTAAGATGAGAATAACTCTTAATAACTATCTTTGAAAGGGTAGGGGCTGTTTAACCATTAACTTAAAATGAAAAGGGAAAGGTGAAAGTATATCATTCGACAACTGAAGAATTCACATGCTAAATATGAATGTAATTTCCATTTCTCATTATTTGTTCTAACAATTTAGAATTTCTACCAGATTTTCTCCTAATATTCACTGGCTGTTTTCTTCTGCACAATCTAATAAATTTATTTTATCTGAACTTTCTACAAGCATCATTACAGCAAACCTTTATGAATATTTAAATAATTGAGCTTTAATTCCTCCTTAAAACCTACAAAACCTTAAAATTTACCACAATCAAAATACGTTCAGCGAAATTTTATCAGAAACAAAGGCTGAAACTCCAGAACATATCCCAAAAATAATATATCTAAATTCTTTACAGTACGGACGCACTTGCCAGAGACTGAAGTCCCCACCTCCGCGTCACAAACTTTATTCAACAATCTAAATTATAAGATCATTTCCAAAGGGGAGAATTGATGATTGGCTCCACGACCAAAATCTCCCGGGGAAACATCGTCTTCACCTTAATATATGCGGCATGATAATATACAAAGCTGGGGATTTAGGGTGTGAGCGGCACTTCCTGTGATCTTTTTCTTTAATTTTTGGCTCTTTACTGTTCATGTCTGCAGATTATTATTTTTTGTACTGATGAATGCAACTCTTTTCCGCTACATGAACATCACATTCAATTTGCCTAAGCCTAGTGTGTCCATATCATAAAGATTACCTATAGAATGAATTAAAAGACAGATTAATCTCATATCACCAAACCCTACATAAAATATACATAAAATATACATATATAATATATATATATATATATATATATATATATATATATAATATATATATTATATTATATATAAAGAGATAAATGAAATATTAGAAGAAAGGAATATAAAAGACAAGTCTGTGACAATTAACAATCTAATGAAGCAATCCTGCAAAATCAGAAAACTTTTCAATAATAATAAAATGCACCAATAAAAACAACCATGATCAATTTAGTAAAATAAAAAAAATTATTATATAAGATAAAAGAGTCCTACAAAATACCTATACACAGAAGCAAAAAAACACCAACAATAAATAAAGAATAAAACCATAAAAATTATATAAAAGATAATAAAACTAATCTTAGAAATCCAAACTGCTAACAAAATCCTAAATTAAGAAACCCAAGCTTAGTTATCAATAAAGCTGAAGATAAGAAAAACAACCTCTATCAGCACTATTATAATAATACAATAAAACTAAGAAACCCAAGCTTAGTTATCATTAAAACTGATGATAAGGAAAACAACCTTTATCAACACTAATATAATAAAATTAACTTAATAATAAAACTATAATAATGCGACTGACCCCTCGTGTGCCGTTGGGAGCGGAGGCAGCGGCCGGTTCCTCATGGACACCATTTTCTCGTCCCTTTTAAACCTCTGTTGCAGATTCACTCGACTTTGCGGCTCCTGGGGCTGGAAATCCTCGTGGAGATAATTCTTATTACTTTCCTCCTGTTTTCCTCTAAAGAACGACCAACTGCGACTCAATTTTGCTGCCATGGCGAAGGAATTTGCCTTTTTTTTATGGGGGGGAGGGGATGCTATAATATAGAGGGAGGATTATACGAAGAGGTTTAAATGGGGCGTTGCTATTTAAGCCTTTGAGTCCTGCGGGGGTTTAAACGAGGCCGAATTTGCTGCTACGGATTTTCAATCTGAGCGGCCATAACGG